CTGCTTTGTTTCTGACAGAGAAGCATTTGTGAGACGCACTAGTTCCTATTCTAATTATCCATTATTTAGAAGCACAAAACTTTAGCGTGAATGTGAAAAGCCGTGAATTTGAACCGATCGATTGTCTTGTCATTTCTTGAAACTCAAATTCGCTGCTCTTTACTTTTATTTTCGTTTGGCCCTCAATCAATTAAATAAACTTTGTGACAGCTAGCTTTATCAAAACTTTCTCCTTATGTCATGTGTTAAATCTCCGTTAATTCCAATTTACGCAGCAAAAAAGGTCGCAAATCAAAATAAATCCTCCATCCTGCACCCATTATCGACCCGCACCTTGTTCTTTTTTTGACTTTGTCAGATAACCTTGACCCTTAAATCCTTTCTTAATACTTTACATAATGATGTCAACGAACGGAAGCAATTTTCCAGCATCGACGGACCTGGAGGCTACCTGGAGGTTTTTGGAGGAAGGAATAGACCTGGTTATGAACAAGTTGGACCAAGGATTGAGCTATAAAAAATATATGGAATTGTACACGTATCCTTTTTCTTAAAGAATTTGAACGGGGAACAACGTAAACATGTATCAGGTTGAATCGACGTGTGCTTGGAGTGTCGAGAATAGCGGAAGAGAAAGACGAGACTGCAATAGTCTGGTGTAATCGTCTCCCTTTGTGGAAATTGAATGGCTGTCGGTGAGATGCGTACGATCAGTGAAGCAGCGGTTTGCTGTCCAAGTGCCTGCCGCTAGATCGTATACATACCTACTGTTGAGTTTCTCCCCTTGGATAATAGCTCTTTATTGTTTCCCCCCCCCCTCTCTCTTCAAAGTTACCGCTTATTCCTTAACTATTATCATTCGTCATTCGAAACCTCAAGTGGCATTTATAATTACTGCACGAGTAGTCGGATGAATCAAGGATTTGCTTCCGAACCGCTCTCAAACACTGGAGGCTCGGGTCTAGGCCAGAATCGAGGTATGTTTATTGGAATTAATCCTGTAGACCTTACGCAAAAGGATTGATGAGTACTTATTCTCTAGAATGTATGCTATTTGGATAACTAGGTGCGAGTTTAATGGGAAGCGATCTGTATAATCGGCTTCAAGATTATCTTAAAAGACATCTGGACAAAATAAGGAGGGTTAGTTGGTAAATCAAATTCGGATGGTTATTGCAATTGAGAATGCTGTGATGGAGTAGCTATAAATTTATTGCTCGGGATTGTTGAGCGTGATGATAGCTTTTCCAAGCATAGCATGAAAATAGTAAATTTATTCTATGTATCGGTGCTGACAAGAGTGGATCTTGAATACAGGACTCTGAACAATATATGGACGAGAATTTATTACAGTATTATACAAAGCAATGGGAAAAATATACAACTGCCTCGACATATGTAAACCATGTTTTCCGATATCTTAATCGTCATTGGGTGAGACGTGAAATCGATGAGGGACGCAACACAGTATACGATGTCTACACGGTAACTATCAAACAATTATTTTTCACAAATGAGTATTCGATATCAGTAATTATTATCAACTCTATCTAAATCGTAACATTTGTAGCTCACTCTTGTCAGTTGGCGTGAAAATATGTTCAAACACGTTCAACGTAATGTTATGACAGCTGTATTAAAGTTAATTGAGAGGCAAAGGAACGGGGAGACAGTTGAAACCAAGTTAATAAAATCAGTTGTCGAGTCTTTTGGTAAGAAGTCAATAATAACACGTTTGGTTCAAGACATTTGGGGATAAGTCAGCGCCCAAGTTTTCATTAGTCGATTGCCTCGAATAACCAATCTTTTTGTCTCTTATTAGTTTCTCTTGGACTTGAAGATAACGACACCAACAAGTCGTCACTAGAAGTATACAGGGAACATTTCGAGGCATTATTTGTCGAAGCCACGAAAATATATTACAAGGCAGAATCGGAAGATTTTGTCAGCAAGAATAGCGTCACAGACTACATGAAGAAGGCAGAATCAAGGCTGTCCGAAGAGGAAAGCCGTATTAACTCATATCTGCATCCAAACACCGAGAAACCAGTATGTTATTATATCTTATATTTATATGGTTTAACGTTCATGTTTTCGATTAGCAATAACATATTCGATATGATTTGTTACTTTGTAGCTTATTAGTACTTGCGAGACTGTGCTGGTAAAGGAACATACGGACATTATGTGGGAAGAATTCCAAAATTTACTCAATATGGATAAATTAGACGGTACATTTTTTCCCACTACTACTATTACAGAAACAAGAACGAAAAGTCAGAATGTATCCTAATTCCGGTTGTTTTCTGTAGATTTGCATAGAATGTATTCTCTTCTTTCACGCATTCCAGATGGGTTAAATCCATTACGCGAGCGATTTGAGAAGCATGTGCGCAGGGCTGGACTTAGTGCTATTGAGAAAGTTGCAGGAGAGAGCGAACCTATGGTAAAGTATCAATAAGGGGGAAAAGAGATAAGTGTATCAATGAATATGGTTTTAACCGTATTCTTTTTGTTAAATTGTTAATAGGAACCCAAAACGTATGTTGATGCTCTGTTAGAAGTTCATAAAAAATATGCTGAAATGGTGCAGAGCGCCTTTAGAGGAGAGGCCGGATTTGTTGCTTCATTGGACAAGGTACATTCTGGGCATATCGATAATATGCACCAATACGCCGATTAGTTAAATTTGTCTTGTTTTTACTCAGATATTACTCTATTTATATTTGCTAATTATTAACTTAGGCATGTCGTGAATTTGTAAATCGTAACAAAGTATGTATGACATCAACGTCTAAATCACCGGAACTGCTTGCGCGGTTCTGTGACGCATTGCTTCGAAAGAGTGCCAAGAACCCTGAGGAGAATGATCTGGAGGAAGTACTAAATAGTATCGTAAGTGGAGAATTTATTGTCAGCGCAAGTCTAATGGTTAACATTACTATCCGAAACTAATTACTTGTTCGCCTACTCGACTCTGATATAGATGACAGTTTTCAAGTACGTTGAAGACAAGGATGTATTTCAAAAATTCTACTCTAAGATGTTAGCAAAACGACTTGTAAATGGCACATCCGCATCCGAGGATGCTGAATCCAGTATGATTTCCAAGTTAAAAGTAAGTGAACAAGTCAACAGACGTAAATTCCAGATATTTATAAGATTATTTATAAACTACTCTCGACGTCTCAGGAAGCATGTGGGTTTGAATACACCTCGAAACTACAGCGTATGTTTACAGATATGGGTCTTAGCAAGGATCTCAATGACCAATTCAAGGAACGCACACAGGAGACAGGAGATTTATCAGGCAGTACGTTTCCCACCTCACTGAACTACATAAATCACTACAAGAACAAATTTTCTAATCTGTTATACTTTTCACCCGAACAGTCGACTTCTCTGTCTTAGTACTCGGAACAGCCTCATGGCCTCTTCAACCATCTTCTACAAAGTTTGAAATTCCTGAAGAGGTGGATATCTGTTTGTGCTCATTCGAGACGATATTAGCTGATACTAAATTATTTCTATCCTCTTCCTTTATTGTGTATACTAAAGGTTGAGAAAACATTCCAGAGATTTCAACTATTTTATCAGAACAAACATTCTGGGAGAAAGCTGAACTGGTTATTCCATCTCTCAAAGGGTGAATTGAAGACTAATTATTTGAAGGCAACAAAAACAGGATACACATTCCAGGTACGATACCAGCAGAAATATGTATCAGAATGTAACAATGAACCTGTCTGACTAATATATACGATGGATATACCTTTTCACAGGTGTCAACGTTCCAAATGGGTATTCTCTTACAATATAACAAAGAAACATCATACACGTTTGAAGAGCTCTCTAACAGTACCGGATTGACACCAGATGTATTAAATGGACAGCTTGGAATTCTATTGAAAGCAAAAGTATTATTACAAATATCTGATGCTGGTGGGTCCAAATATTCATTGAACTCGGACTTTAAGAGGTCAGTGTAGTCGTGCGCCTTTTGATCAGGAAGAAGGGAGAGAAGAGTTTATATGGGTTGAGCCAAACAATGATTTCCAATTCATTGCAAAGTGGGTTATTTAGGTAGCCCAAATCCGTGTTTTAACATTCTCAATTGTTTTGATAATATTAGCAAGAAAGTTCGTATTCAGTTGAATCTACCGGTGAAATCGGAACAGAAGATTGAAGTGGAGGACACACACAAGACAGTTGAAGAAGACAGGAAATTATTGATGCAGGTTAGTAACTTGTTAATAATATGTTATTCTCCCCAACACACGCAAACTCACTGTTTTTCTCTCTTTCTTAATTTCAGGCGGCAATTGTGCGGATCATGAAGACTCGTAAACAACTCAAACATGTAACTCTTGTACAAGAAGTTATCGCCCAATTGTCGAATAGATTTAAACCAAAGGTTCCAGATATCAAGAAATGTATTGACATATTGCTGGAGAAAGAGTACATAGAGCGTATGGAGGGGCAGAAGGACACCTTCCAGTATGTTGCTTAAGCTTTCGCAACAATAAATTGATCAAAAACTTTCGTTTCGAGACTAGATTGGTTAGAAATGAAAGGGTGGTACATAGGCTTATTTTTAGGTTTGTTTAGTTAGTTTGTTGTTTTTTTTTGAAGATGTAATAATGAGACGATTGGAGATATAAATATGTATGTACACGTTGAAGTGGACAGGGAGGCGTGAGGAAAGAGATGCGAATGACAGAGGCGGATGACATAGTACATTCAAGGGAGCAAATGGAAATAAGCAAGATATTTAGACCTGGTTATAACTAGAATTTTTTGCTTTTGATCAATATAATTGAAAGTTCACATTGGCATTGTTCTCAGCATGTGTTCTTTTTTTTTTTTTTAGCATTCTGTAATAAATATTAACTAAAGTAAACAATATTGACGGATGACTCGGGATAATTTGTGAGACAAAATTCCATATTTATTCTTCAGATAGTCAACAGATTCCGGATGATGGATATGAACAGATACTGTTACATTATCCATTTTCCCGGACGAACCGGCAGGGAGGCTGATAATCCGCCATCAATCGCCAATGCTTGACCATTCACGTATGAACTCTCGTTACTTGCAAGGAACGCCACCACGTTTGCAACCTAGATATTCCACAAATGACATGTTTATAATAGTCTCAAAAACCGTGTTTAGAATTTGACAGATTCTCACCTCCTCGGGATTGCCAAAGCGTTGCAAAGGATTCAACTGACCAATTCTGTCAACCGTTTGTCTTGCACGAGCCGAGTCAAAGACTATCTTTGTCATATTTGTCTCGATCAAACCCTATCGAAGGCAAGTGAGTAATCATTTGGATGTACAATTGGTAATATCGAAATACAGTGCAAAGAAAAATACGTACAGGACAAACAGCATTGACACGAATATTTGTGCCAGCCAAGTGACACGCACCAGTCTGAACAAAATTTACAGCTCTATAATACACATTAATGAGTTAATCTCGTCGTATATTTTAAAGAAATCAAGTACGTTTTGACTTACGCAGCTTTAGCAGCAGAATAACCAGCTCCGCCAGCACCGGATCGTATTCCGGCCACTAAAGTAGAGGGAAATGTTTAGCAGTATTAGCCAAAGCCGCACGCAATATGAGCACGAGGTGTAATTGTGAGATATGGGTAACCGAACAATTAATTTTTTGAAAGTACTGATAGAGGTTGGTTTAAGTTTTCGCGAGAACACCCGTGGCGAGGCATTGGTTCGTTCGTTTGCTCTTTGACTGATCGCAAGCCCTCACTATAATTAATAGATTTCAGCTTTCCAACAGTAAATGCTTCGTCATTGAACTGGACATTTTCTATGCGTGCTTAATCAACAAGCTGCGATAATGTCCCATACATTAATATTTAATGTTACTGCATCCTTCTCATGCCAAGAGTCGCACGCTTTCAACGATTTCGGTACCCATATTCACAGCACACAATAGCCCATAAAATTCTTATATACAGACCGGAAGCAGTGGCAATTATAGATCCGGAAGATTTCTCTTTGCCACCTTTGCCGCCAGTAATTTTCATTGCCCCGGACGCGAATTTGATGGCGAGAAAGACGCTTATTGAATTTTAAAAGTCATGGAAGATGGATATTTAGATAATGATTCGAGCAGATTATTAAATAATTGACCGTCTACATTACCTTAGTGAATTGACCTGTTACAAAAACATGGCAATCAGGAAAATATAATCATTTATATAGAAACGTGCTTTAAATGCATAACAAATGAATGCTTACTCTCATGATATTCATACAAGCAGATGCGTCACCATCAACAAATGAAGACACGCTGCCCGATCCTACAATACGAATAACAATTTAACAAGGAGTAAGATTTCTGTAATATTTAAACTAATCTCCAACCGAAATTTGTTACGTCTCCTTACCAGCATTGGCAAAGAAAACATCCAACCGTCCAAACGCATCGATCGCATCTTTGACCACTCCACTCACATCTGCTTCGCTGGTCGCGTCTACTTTTTTAGGGATTACCGTAACGGATGGGTATTTTGCTTGAATATCTTTGGCAAGAGAGGGAAGAAGATCGTATTGGCAATCCGTGACGTAGATTGCTTTGGGCCCTATCGAATGTTAGAGACGGTGAGAAGCAGGCATTAAAAAAAGAGACGATAAAATCGTTAGGTTTGTAATTTAGCAATGTTCCGTTACCATGTTTCGCAAAAATCCATGCAGTTGCCCGACTACATTGTGTTTAATTTGATTAAATGATCAAGATGTTCTGCAAACGCATGACTTGACTATTCCTTCTCACGTACCCAATTCCTATTTCAGATCCGGCTCCTGTAATAATGCACACTAGTCCGTCAAGCCGAGGTTGGCTGTCATTGGTCAAGTGGCTGGTTATCTGATTGATGCGTGCTTTCGGAGATGACATTTTTAAAAGTCAGTGGCAAAGTCACACCGCTATTTATAAATTTCCATTCATGCCTCGTGATCCTGCATCTAACCTTGTTATTATCCCATTCTCGGACATGTTCTAACTTCTTTTGCCAATCATACAAATTGACATATAAATGAAGTTGATGCTTTTGATCTGCATCACGTGTTGTTAGAAATTGATTGCTAGTATTCATTCAATTGCACGCAATTCGGATTGACAAATTGTGTCATACCGAAACCGAGGTATGGATTCAGCAATAAAGCTAGGATATGTACGAGGCCTGCGTGTTTCACTACATTAAAACGGTTAGTACGCAACTTCATAAATTCGATAAAAATTAATAATATTATTAATTTAAGAAAGAATGTGAGCGACATCATGATCTAAAGTTTCGAATCATAATGCAATAATGTGATCACTTACCAATCAACAAACATTCATGCGCTAAAACCAATCCATTAACTGATGTATACCACTAACCGATATTCGATAATTCTGAGACAACCTTTAAACGAATAGTTGTAGTTGGTAGCCAAGAAACAACACTCAATTTGCTTTTAGTTCGTGCCAATTCTTCGTGTCGTCAAAGTAACGGAAAGAAAAACACATATTTTTAAATCAATACAAGCAAAACGTATGTCCATTGTCAGCCATAAAAATTGTATGCTTAATTGCTGCTTCAGCAGACTACTATTTGTTAATTTGGCGGTCGAAATATTATTTTCCACGTTTAACTATGTTAATAACATTGCTGCATTATCTCTTCTGAATGCAAACGTAAATTAGGTGATAAAGAGGCGGATAACGATGTAACACAAGGAATGCTTCTCTCGAGAATTTTGTACTTGAAAAACGGTTACTCAAACTATGTCGTTAGTTCCAGACTTTAATTATAATCCAGCACTTGACAACTTGGTTCAATCCTCATTAACCAACATAATAAAGCCAACTCAAATTAACATGTCTATTACGATCAGTATGGCAAGATAATACTGGTGTTCCTTGGAAGTAGCGAAGAATGTACACCGACACTTGTGAGTGAGTTTGCCAGAATATACTCACGAGTACAATAGCGAGGTTAATCGGTTCGGAAGATATTCCGCTTGGCTTAAGAATCGCAATAGACTGATAGAAGGATTTACTGAACATGATAACAACTATTTTACATGGTTGCTAATAGACGCTTTTGCCATTATTGCCACTGTTACTCTCGATATGAATTTTGCTCCGCATGTGGAATACTCTTCTTGTGTGATGCATAAACAATTATCCGATGGATGGACTAGCAACTCGATGAGTTTATTAAGAAATATCAATTACATGTGTCTATTTGGAATGGATTCCACGTGATTGTATTGATGATGAGGTATTATTTATTATATTCTAACTGATGCAAGCTGTTGAATTGAGATAACAGATGAGACAGATGATTCATATTATGATAAGGTGACTAAATCATTCAATTATGCATTGTGTTTATTGAATTATTTGTATAATTAATGGCTTATTATTCCACTAGTTATGTGATGAGCATCCCGATATTCTTATCAACAATGTTTGGGTTCCATTGGTATTGGATTTACGTACTATGCAAGTGAAAAAATATTATCTAATAAATGAACGGGATGGGTGTGGATTATGTCTGACGTGTACACATCGATAATAAATGCATTTTGTTATGAATGTATAACACCAAGACCATTTGATTGAACTACAGGAAACAAGTCATTGAATTCATTCATTATGGAATCGTGGAAAATACAAAGACTCTGTATGATGCCTATATACAATGGATAGAATACTCTTTATTGACAAACGTGCAAGAGATGGCATCATTACGCCATGGATGCACACATAGTATATTAAATAAAAAATCAGGGTTGTAAACAACGCTCAAATATATCATGTTTATTTCCATTTTATATCTCCCTAATGTTACGATCTGATGAATCAGATAAGTGAGTCACATGGTAAAATCTTCCCCCGCAGTCAAACAACCCCATGATCAACACTAATTTTAGTTCAGTTTCACAAAAAGCATTTATTTAGTAATAACAGCGTTGCGAAAATCCGCAACGGCGCTACACTGCATTAGGAAACAAAATGTTGCGTTTTTTCCGCGACAGCACAAAACGCTATA